TTGCACGAGCTGGGCTGCTGGGAGCTGTGCTGGGCTCTCGACGCTTTGCCCGGGGAAGCAGGCGTGGGCTGCGTCTCGTGGTGTTTAAGGGGAGGAGGAGAGCTACACGGTCAAGCTGCATTGTCTTCACTGACAATGAATTCCACTGCTTTGCAAAATGAAAGCAAAGCATTCGTTAGCTGACATCTGCTCGCTGCGCTGTAATGCAGAAAGTCAGTAATTCAGGGAATGAGCCCGAGCAGTGCCGCAGGGCTGCGTGCCTGGGGCGCATCCCGGCCGTGAGTGGGCACTGGTGTTCGCAGAGGCCTCCCCGAAACGGGCTGACGAAGTCTCTGACCTCAAGGCACGTTTGTATGTGAAAGATGCAACCTCAGAGGGACGCAGATGCGAGGACCAGGGGAATTCAGCCCATGTGCTGTAGTCAACTGCTGCTGTGAGTTGCGTTTATTCCCCCTGCAGATGTGGGAACTGTGCTGAAACGCTGTGGGCAGCCTCCAGCCACCCCTGCCTGTGTTCAGCTGCTGCCAGGCAGCAAATCCTGTGCCTGGGGCTGGCCTCCACCGCACCAGCAGCTCTGAGAGCCTTTGGGGTGCCTTTTTGTACTGGTGGAGTTGACTAGTACCATTATTCTCCATCTGAAAAAAGAGAACAGCATCGTCCTTAGCAGGTCACACAACCATTTTGCAAACTGCTAAGGTACCATCAGATTTTTTCATTGCTGTTGGCATCTTGATGCTAAACCCCTTAAAGGCCCTTCCTGATGCTTCAGGCACGTGGCATTAATTGCACAGTCAATACTGTTTTCCTGTTGTTAAGCGCTTGCAAACACTGATTTATTTTTTCCTGCCTTTGCTGTATCTTCAGCTTCTGGGGCCAGGAGAGCCCTGGCTCAGCCTTTCCCCTGCTGAAGTGGTCGCTGAGCTGGAACAGCCTTTATCAGAACTCAGGAAAAACAAGTAAGCTCAGTTCTGTACACGTAGCATGAGGCAAAACCAGAGGATTGTCAGAATATCCCTTATATTAATTGTAATAATAATAAATATAATTATTTATATCTTTAACTTAGGTATCTCTCTATAACTTTTTTTATTAAGTTTGGGTTATACCTTCTTCCCGTTACAAATATCTTTGTCCACACCCTTTCATTAGCTAAATGAAGTTGTTTATATCCAAGAAGTGTTGGCTTTGGGAGTGAAAATTGGGAGTAACTGCAGGAAAACACCCAGAACGTGCTGGAACTAAATCAGTGTGACAGCACAGTTATGGAAAACATGAAGCTTTCCCAGAGCAGGCGAGGGAAAGGAAGATGTAGGGATGACAAACTAAACGGGAACCTCCTCAGGCTTATTTAAATGCCCAATATAAACCAATTTGCACGAAATAAGCATGGGGGTTTCATAGGAGGGAACCATGGGGAAGACTCATTAGCGACAGAGGGAGTTAACCCGAAGAGCGGGGGTGGTGATGGCGATTGCACGCTCCTACCAGACACCTCACGCATCATCTGAATATTTAAAACATTTATTTTTACAAATGTACAGCATTTACAAGAGTTAAAAAATTAGGCATTTAAAAGGAATATCACATGACTAGAACCTAACAATAAATAGGGTGCAGCTCGGCGTTCATGTGCTTCAGGAAACTCCCAGCAGCTCGGCGGGCAGAGTGGGCACAGCGACCGGCTGGCACAGAGGGAGGAGCCCCTGCACGCTCCCTCCTCGCTCTCCATCACCTTCATTTGCTCTCGGAAGCTGAGTGTCTGTAATCCTCGTGCCACAGGTAGCAGCTCCGTGGGAGGGTGCTGAGCTCCCCTTCGAAGGGCACATCGGCAGTGCAGCGCTGGGGGAGAGGGACCAGAGCCGGGCCGTTCGCCGCCCACAGTGGTGGCACGGCCAGAGCAGGGCTGGTGCGGTGCTTGGCAGAGGCTCCTGCTCAGGTATTTCCAAAGCACTGGTCTTGGCAGAACCATGCAGCTGGCAAACAGATACCCCAGGTGGGATGAAGCATTCAGATCCAAGCTACTTTTCCTAGGCACATCCATCACGTGCATAAGCAGACATAATTTAACCATCCACCTTAGCAAACAATGAATCATCCCCTGAAATACCACTTTGTTCTCCGCTGCAAAGGGAGAATGAGTAACTGGCTTGTCTTAATGCATCGTCGACAACCAAATCTGATCAGTGGCATCCCGGTCCTTGTGCATCGAGAGCATTACCAGGTGCCCAGAAAGGTCTGTGGTCTGCCTGAGCTCCACCTGAGTCAGCGTGGAGATGCTGTTAGGGCAGCCAACGAGCCGACTAGCACAGCAGCCCGTGTCAGCTCACTGCGGGTACCACACCGTGCAGTGGTCCTGCAAGCCCAGCACCTCCTTAAGAAGGAATCTGGCCAGTCCTGCCACCCAGCCTCTGAGGTTATTCATGTCTAGCTCAGGGTTACCATACCACAGGTTAGGCTTGGTGAGTTCGGTTAAATAACGATGAAACTGGAAAATCTATGGGAAATGGAGACGACAGACAGAGAAGCCAGAAGACACCAGCAGAAACCTGACTGCAGGCTGGTGACCAGCGCAGCCACGAGGCAACTTCTGTTGCTTGCTGCTGGTTAGGTATCTTACTGCCTGACTCCTAAACACACGTGTTTAGCAAGGCCCAAAATAAAAATACAAATCCTTAAAATGTCCAGCTGAGCTGCCGCCACCAGCACGTGACCCCTGAGATGGCGGGGAGCTCCCCAGGACGGGCTACTGCTGGCCATGTGCAAGGTGGCCCAAGCCTCCCACCCACCTTAGTGGAACAGATAAGCAAAATGCTCACGAGTAATCCCAGATTTCCCGTGCGCCTGCATCAGGTTGGCTTTCCAACACATCTCTCCATCTCGAAGTGCGTGTCCTGGAGCTGGCCCAGCTCTGACTCTCAGCCAACATTCAACCCCTGCCCCCGAAGAGTAGCCGAACCCTTGTGCAAGGTCCTTCCAGACTGAAGTTCTTCTGTTTTGCAGGATAATAGTAATAATAAATTAATAAATTGCTGTCAGAGAAGCCGTAACACCCTCCGACTCATTCTCCCCCAACCCACAGGTACCTGTGCTCGAGTGACCTTGCAGAGGAGGCTTTAGAGATTGCAGGTTGATTTTTTTTTTTAGGGTCTACCAGAGACAGGTCTAACTTGCATAAAATAACAGATTGCAACTGCCCTCTCAACATCAGTGACCCGTGAGCAAGGCACTGGAGAACTGAAAGGACGTCAGAAAGCAAGGTGTGTCTGTGAGCGAGGTCAGCCTCTCCTCAAAAATTAGTTTTATATAAAAAAAAAGAGGAAAGAAACAGTGTTTGGAGTTCAGTTTTCACAATGAAGTATATATACATTTTAAAAAACCCCCCATCACTCAGCAAAACACCCCGAGGCTTCCAGCCTGCTTTCCTTCCCCAGAGACATCGCCCAAAACAGCATTGGGAGCGGACGCTGCTCTTGGTTCTCCTTTGCCTCCAACCAAACTCCCTCGGGCGCAAGCAGAGTTCACTCCAAAGCCCGCAGAACTCCAGACAGCACCTTGCACGCTCAGGTTTGCAGGTTTCCAGCTATTAGTGGTACCCAACACCGATGCTGTGAGGTGGGGGGGTGGCTGGTACCCTCCCGGAGCCCTTTCGAAGCTCTAAAGGGTTTACAAAGCATTTGGAGTCCAGTATTGGCTTCCTTCATCTGCCTTTCACCACGCAACTCACCCCAAAAAAGCACTTCAGAGCTTAGCCATACTGTAACTTGACGCAGTGCAAGTTACCTTGGATCACATGTCGCCAAAAATTAACTGGCAAAAGCACAATTTATAACATCTTTGTTGTTTAAAGTTTGGTTTAACCTGGAAGCAAGTCCATGGACACCCTGCTTTTCTTACAGACCTGGCCAAACAAGGCTGATTCTTTGTCAACGGTGATGAAAAACATTATACATATATATATTTATGATAATTTATATATTACAGGCTTACCCATTTGCAAAACAACCATTTTTACCTGGAAACGTCAGCATTAAGAATCTTTTAGACAATTTAAATCCTACTCAACATACAAAAATAAATATTGCATACGTGATTTCCCAGCAAAACAAGTGACACAGGTCACCAAAACACAGCTGTGGCTGGTAGCAGTCCATAGCGGGAGTGCATAACTAACAGAAGCTGCTCAGGATCAGCTCTCTCTCGCCGGGTGCCAAAATGCGAAAACATGTAAAGCCTCCAAACCCGCAGGAGCCCGTCGGCTCGGCAGGCGCCAGCATCTCGTCCCACCAGCTCTCCATCCCCCTTCCTCCTCGCAGCTGAGGGTCAGGGACCGCACACCCACCTCCCCTCTAATCACGCTTCGGGAACACAGGTTTTAGAGGGCTTTTTCTGCTTCGGAGTGATTTTCTGCCCATCCCAGTGTGTGTTGTTATGGTGGTGGCTCTTCGTGCTGCTGCTGGACAACCGTGGGGGAAGCGTCTACGTGACGCTGGCCTGGTCCAAGCTGCTGCTGCTCCTCATGCCCCCTCCCTTCCAGCTACTGCTGCCTTGCTGCACCCTCCTGCCCGCTCCGAGTGGACCACAAGATGTGGGGAAGCTGCACAGACACGCTGCCGATATATTATTTACCGTACGTTCTCCAAACAGGTTAACGAGCCCCCAGTTAGTGCTGTGACAAATAAGAAAACAGTTCCAGATGTGTAAGTGATGCTAATAGCAGCTGGCAGTCATCTAGTACTTTTAAATAACATTTCTTCACGGAGAAAAGACAGGCATTAAGAAAAGTGTATGCATCCGTCCCAGCCATGGTTCCTGGGAATACGTGGCAGGAGCTTCTTCAGAAAACAGCAGAGGAACGCGGCGGTTTTACCCCCTTTGAATCCATCTACATCCCAGGCTCAGCAGTTCGTCATTAGCAGAAGGAGGAAGACCAGTCTTGCAAAGGCCACGCCGCAGCGCGGGAGAGGCTGGATGTTCCGGCAGCCGGC